GTCACAAGTCACAGCCTAGGTCACAGGTCACAACGCGTGATTTTTTGTTAATAATGATTGTTAACACGATAAGGCTCATGTCTCACATTTTTGTTAATAGTCACAGATTATTTTCAAATGGTCACAGCACAAGTCACAGAATATATTGCACATGGCTCACGATTTTGTTCATAATCCCATGTTATTTTCAAATGGCCACAGTACAGGTCACATAATATTTTTGCGCATGGCTCAGGTTTTTGTTGATAGTCACAACATAGGTCATTGAATATTTTGCACATGGCTCAAGGCACAACATAGGTCACAACACATGGCTCCATTGGTCGCTGCACATGGCTCAGGTCACAGCATAAGTCACTGCACATGGCTCAGGTCATAGCATTGGTCACAGAGAAGGTACAGCACCACCACCATCGCACAACCACCGTCGCCGTCTCACGTACCCTAACCCTACTCTGCCAATGCTACCACAACATACAACTCACCACAACCACCATCGTTAACGTCGCCAACACAGCCTCACTATAAGTGTCGCCGTTGCCGTCAACACAGCCAAACCACTCTACTAGGTGCCACCATCAACACCAATGGCGCCTCCACTACCACCCACCACAAAACACCGTCAACAGAACCACAAGACCACCAAGGCACCTTTTAATACCCAGTAACAACACAGATTCGGCGCCTCCACCAACACCAAGCAGCCACCACAACCGCGAATCACCAACACCAACAACCACCAATAAAAACAGCCTAAAAATTCCTGATACATCGACCTGAGAATGGCAACGTCGCGTGAGGCTGCCGCGAATAAGGGCACCACTAATTCCAAATTTTCACAGTCCATTCCCAAGACCCAGAAACTATAGTCGACTGATGCGTATTAGGTGAAAACCGGACGCAAGAAACCCAATTGGCAGGTTGTAGCACCAGACTGAAGGTCCCAGAAAGCGCAAATATCTGATTTTTGAACATTAAAACTTTAAATCTGATTTTTGAATTTAAATCTTGAAAAGTAGGGCTCCATGTAATATCAGATTTTAAGTTTTGATATTCAAAAATCAGTTATTTTATAGGTAGATACAGATTTTTAAATATTAATAATAATATTATAAAAAATAATTATATACAACTACCCCAAATTATCAACCCTAATAAATCACCCCATTTCATTCATACCTGACTTCTCTCCTAGATCCAGCTGCCGCCGCCGGTGAATTCTACTCAACCCCGTTTCGTTCATCCCCGTCTCTCTCAACTGATGTCGTCGCCTCCGCCTCGCTCCGCTCGCTGCAGCAGCCCAATCGCAACCCTCCGCAACCTCATTTCCTCTCCATCTATCCCCTCCCTCATCTCTCTGTGAACCGTCGCGACGAGGAGTCGCCCATCCCGTCGCTGTGAGACCCTCTCTTGTTGAACGGCATACCTACCTTCTTCCCCCTCCACTTGCTTCTTGGACCCAACCCCAATTGCGTCGTTGATTTACTGAAAGTAACAGATGGGCATGGTTTCATACCTACAAGGTTCATGTTAGGTTTAGGGTTCTGGAATTGTGGTTGTGGCAACGGTGGGGCCCAATTCCTGTAGCTCCGATTCATCGCTATTTGCGGATAAGAGTGAGAATTCATCATCATGATAAGCGATTTCGAAATCATTAGATGTGAAAAGTCTTGTTCTTGATTTGTTTTGAAAATTACCTGCTGCTGCGGTTGTGTTTTCATTTGGCTTATGCAGTCATTTGATTCTGATTCATGGCAATGGCCATTATTTTGTTGATGCTGATGCAGTTGTGGTTGTGGATAGGGTTGGGAAAAATGTCCGAACCGAACCAAACCGAATCGAGCGGGTTTTTTTAAATGAAATACCCGAACGGGTATCCGAATCGAGAACCGAATGGTTTGGTTCGTTTCTCGGTTCTAGACCTAGAACCGAAGAATCGAATAAGAACCGAATTTTTTTTTTATATNTTTCAGGTGTATTTATGTAGTATTATTTTAAATGTTAAAAAATTTAATTATAGTACGGAATCGAACAGAACCGAACCCGAACGGTTCCAAAATTATATTTGGAACCGACGGTTCCATTTATTAAATACCCGAAAATTTCTGGAACCGAAAAAAACCGAACCAACCCGCGCCCACCCCTAGTTGTGGATCTAATAATTTCTGTGGTGGTGGCGGCGGCGATATTGTTGGTGCGGGAGATTGTCGTGGTTTTTGGTTTGCCGTCGATTAGTGAGGTTGTTTTGGCGACGATAGTGATCATTCGAAAATAACCCGTAACTATGGACAAAATCTCAAGTTGTGATCTGGGCTGTGATTTGTGACGTGAGTTGTGACTTGGACTGTGACTTGTGACTTGGACTGTGACCTGGGCTGTGACTTGTGAATTGGACTGTGACCTGAGTTGTGACTTGGGCTGTGACTTGTGACTTGAGTCGTCGGAATCGGAGCAGTCGCCGGAAACGGTCATCAAAATTAGGGTTGGGCAAAATGTCCGAACCGAACCGAATCGAGCGGATTTTTTTAAATGAAATACCCGAACGGGTATCCGAATCGAGAACCAAATGGTTTGGTTCGGTTCTCGGTTTTAGACCCAGAACCGAAGAACCGAATAAGAACCGATTTTTTTTTTTGCATTGGATAAATCAATTTTTTTGTATTTTTTCTAAATAAATTAATAATTTTTTTCCTATTAAATCTTATTAGTTGAACAATTTAGAGTTTATTTATATTTGTTAGTTGTGTTTTTTTCAATTTTTTCTTATATAGTCTCTTAGTAGTTAGTATGGAAAGTCAAGCAACTGATTATTATATTAAATAGTTGGTAAGTATTATCAACACTTTAAAATATTTTATCTTTATTACTTCTAATTTATATTTCATTTTTATGTAGACTTGAATGTTTGAAGCAAATGAATTATTGATATGAATTATCGAAGTTTTATTAATAATCTTTACTTTTTCGTATTTGTATTTGACAACTTATTATTTATATGTTATTAAATTAGTTTACGTTAATTTGTAAAAATTAAGATTGAACTTGGTATTTATATCTATTTTTTGTTATTAATATTAGTATCTACTTTCATGTATATTTATATAGTATTATTTTAATTGTTAAAAAATTTAATTATAGTACGGAACCGAATAGAACCGAACTGAACCGAACCCGAACGGTTCCATTTACTAAATACCCGAAAATTTCTGGAACCGAAAAAAACCGAACCGAACCGACCCGTGCCCACCCCTAATCGGAATCTGAACAGTCGTCGGAATCAGAACAATCGTCGGAGAAGTCACCGGAAATGTCGCCGGAAAGGTTGCCGGAGCCGTGGGGGGTGTTGGAGGTGGGGGTGGGTTAATTTTATATATATATGTGTGTGTGTGTGTGTGTGTGTGTGTGTGTGAAAATCTCTGATTTCAGAAAAATAAAACATGTTTTGTCAATTTTGAAATAGGCTAAAGCAAACATCTGAGAACTGAATTTTTCCTTTTTAAAAATTAATCTAAATCTTCAATATAGGGCAAAGCAGAAGGCCAGACGGAAGAACTGAAGAAGCTGCACCGCCTCAAGTCCAGAACTGAAGAAGCAACGTTGTGGCGAAAACTGGAAGCCGGAAGGTCCAACACTTTGACTCAACCCCCGTCCTCCTCCTCCAGCATCTGCAAAATACATAGTAAGTATTTACTGTATTTTGTTTACAAATTACACACAGGCACAGAGCCTCTGGGCTCCATCCTCCATTTTTGTGCAAGTATTTTACAAGTTTAAGCCAAATAAAAAAATTCGTGAGTTTTAAGCAGGTGATTGACGTACCACAAAAACAAGGTCCATGTCATTGTCAACAGTAATAACATAGTCATACATATCAACAACCTTTTCTGAACTGTGTGAGAAGCCTAATGTCCAGCAAAATCACCTAATTATTACAATGATAATAAAAAGGACAAAAAAAAAACAAAAAAAACACCAAGTAGAGAAAAAATTCACCTATTTTACTAGAGTTGATGGGCAAATACTGGGTTACAGGATTCTTGATGACGTGTAAAAGTTTCTCACCCTTTCTAGCTGCAGTGATATGCAACTTTTGTAGCAGTTGCACTACAAAGTATTATTAAAATAATTCATTATTAACGACAATCTTCAAAAATAGTTTTTTATTGGAAAAATCTCGGATAAACTCACCCATGATTCCAGAGAAGCGGTTATATGTCCTTGGCATACGTGCATGAGGTTTGATTTGAAAGAGAATACCTTGCTGTGTCCTTACATACAAAGCTTCCAATCTCCAGCTCTTGTTCACGTGACTATCTAAAATCGTCTAGATGGCCTGAAAAATTATCAACACATGGAGTTATAAAGGATAACCTAGACCTGAAAGAATATATCTCCAATAAATTTTGTGAGCAATATTTCTGAAGTTACGTACGTGCTTACTTTTTGTAACGACCCAAAACTTACTATTTAAGTCGTTAAATATATATTGTAAAAATAGAACTTTCATAAAATATAATTATCTCCAAAGTTACAATAATTAAAAATAAAACACTTTCTTAATCATAAAATTTATTTTTTTAAAAAATTCATAAATTATCTCATCTTCATTATACCACTGGTGGCTAGTTCCAAACTCCAATGTCTCGAACCTCACTTACCTAAAATGGGGAAAATCATAAATAATGAGATAAAATCCCAATAAGTGAGCCATAAATCGTAATTCATAATTAAAATTTAGGAATTTTAAACGTACATAGGGAGACACTAGAATTAGAAATCGATCTTAAGTGATCGTAATCCCAATACATAATCATAACATACATATGGAGACATGAGAATTAAGATATGAACTACGTGGCTATAGTTCTTGTGCATAGCGCTACTAATTTCCGGTCCTTTGAACTTAAACATATATGACTCATATCATATTCATAAATTGAATTTCCTATTTTAAGGTATGAAAAACGATCTAACATGTAACATATGACTACACTTACCTCTTAAATTTAAAGAGGATTTCATAAAACACGTATGAAAGAACTTGACCTCAAACAATTGTTTATGAATTGAATGTGCAGTGTGGGACAATCATATGTGTGTGTGTGTGTACGTGATTATGGTAATTATATAATTGCAATCAATCAACCATAATTACATATAATTATACATACATAGATGCATGTGATTATAGCAATATTATAATTTAACTTAATCAATATTAATTAAATATAAATATATATTCCCACATACACAGTAGTTGACTTATATATATATCAATGAGACTTTAAAATTATGGGTGAATTGAAATAAAATATTTTCTTTGAAGCACTAAAAGAGATTTTGCCTCATTTTTGAAGTAGTTGAACCCTTGAAAAGAGAGACTGGGCAAAATATTCTCTTCAAGACCAAGTGTTTAAACCAAGTTTGAAACCATTTTGGAAAAGTTTTTTGACACGCTTGGTGAAAAAGAATAAACCAAGAGTGATTCACTGGTCTAAGGTAAAAAAATATTAAACCAGACATCTTGATAATCAAGATAACTAAAATGAGAAGAAAAATTTTCACCTTTTGAGAGGTTCATTTTCTTTTCATTCCAGGAAGGTTGACCCCAGTCATCAACTGTCAACACTTTGCAAATTGAAATTTTTGAAAAGTCAATGTGTTTGGGATTTTGTTTATTTGGAGTGTGAGTTATGATTGCAGATCCAGTTCTGAGAAGATTTTTTTCATAAAACTCACGAGCTTTTTGAAGAGTATATGTAAGATATTGAAATGAAGGAGGAAAAATATTAGAAAGGCATTCATTAAGATCTGTATATTTTTCAATCCAAGATGGTTTCATTGTGATGACGGATTCCAAATAGTTTTTTGTAAAATATTGAAAATGTTTAGGATTGATTTCTGGAAGCCTTCCAGAACCAACTTGAACAACTTTTTTGTAATTTGAGGGTTTTCCTGGAGTTTGTTCAAAAACAAAAAATCTATTTGAAGAAAGATTCTGAGTATTTGAGGAAGAATATTTTGAATCCAGAGTGTTTTTGTTGGAATTTTGAATATATTCTGGTAAAGAAATTTTGTTTTTGTTTTTCTTGGTTTTTGAAGTAGCAGCAGATGTGGAAGAAACCATATCTTCCAATACTTTGTTGTACCAATCTATGTTGGCACTTTCTTATTTTTCTCTCCTTTCGGAGTGTTCTCACTTTCACTCGAAATCTCTCCTTTTGATGTAAGAAACTCTCTTGTGAAGAAATCTGTAAGAACATTAGTTTTTCCAGGTATATAAAGAATTTTGAAATCGAAATAAAACAAAATAGCTTGCCACCTATCAAAGATATGCTTTGAGACAAGATTTCTTACATCTTTTTGAAAAACATCTTTTGAGGCTTTACAATCAGTTTTAAGAATAAAATTTTTATTAATTAAATCATCTTGAAACACAAAGAACAATTGAAAGAATTTCCTTTTTAACAGTAGAATAGTTTATTTGAGGTCAAGGCCAGACACCAGAATAGTATCGGACTAACTGTTCTTGATTTGACTCTTTTGGAATCTGCTTTAAAACTCCACCAAATCCTAAATCTGACGCATCGGTTTCGTCAATAAGATCTACATTTGGATCAATAAACTGAAAGACAAGGAATACTTTTGACTGCTTTTTTGATTTTTTGAACAGCTATCGTACACTCATCCCTCCAAGGTTTTGGACTTTTGTGTAATCTTTTAAAAAGAGGNTTTGAATAATTGTATTTTGGAAAATATTATGACCAAGGAATCTGATTTTAGTTTGACAAAGAACAATTTTATTAGCAGAAACTGCTAAACCATTATTTTTTATTATATTGAAAAATATATTTAAATGCTTAAAATGTTGTTCTAAACTTTCACAATAAAGTAGAACATCATCAATGTACACAATGATAAAATTTTGATAAGGACTGAAAATATCATTCATGATTTTTTGAAATTCAGAAGGAGTATTCTTGAGACCGAATGGCATCACATTCTATTCGTATTGTCCGAAAGGAACATTAAATACGGTTTTGTATCTATCTTCTTCTTTAATTTGAATTTGCCAAAAGCCAGATTTCATATCAAATTTAGAGAATATAACGGCTTTGAACAATCTATTCAAAAGATCTTTCTTTTGAGGAAGAGGATAACAAATCCATTGAAGAACAGTATTGAGAGGCTTGTAATTCATTACAAGTCTAGGAGCACCACATTCTATTTCTTCTTGATTAAGCACATAGAATGCATAGCAACTCCATGGCGATTTATTAGGACAAATTAGTCATTTTTCAAGTAAATCTTTGATTTCTTTGCTACAAAATTCAAGAAGTTCTCTATTCATTTGAATAGGTCTTGATTTTGTAGGAATTTGCGATTCATGAAAATCAGATATATAAGGAAAAAAAATAATATGTTTCTTTCTATTCCAAAAAGCAATAGGAATAATAGAACATATTTCATCTTCAAATTTTTAAAGTAATTTGGAAATTTTTTCTTTAAAAATTGAATTTTGTAATTGATCTTTAATTCTTTGAAGTTTAATTTCTTCTTTGAGAAATAACACATGTTGTTTTTTGAAATTTATATTGTTAATAATTTGAAAAATAGATGCTTCTTTGAGAGTATTAACTTCTTTAAAAGAAAGAGGATTTGCAAATTTAAAAAATAATTCTTGACCAAAAATATTAGTCAAAAATCTTTTTTCAGAAGCTTGAAAATGATATATTTGAACAATAAAATGAGTACCAAGAATAACTTCTTGATCTAAATTTTTAACAAGATAAAAAATATTTTTAAAACGAATATTTAAATTACAAATATGGGCATTTGAAAGTTTATATTGGATATTCAATTTCTTTCCACTAGCGTCATAAAGACGTTCAGTGATTTTTTCAAAATATTTTGTGGGTATTAATCCTTCACGAATATAATTTTGATCTACTCCGAAATCAATAAGAACTCTAGTTGTTAATTTAAAGCTTTTATTAACAACTATAGTCATATTGCAATACCATTTTTGAAGTTGAATTCGATTGATAACATTAACCTTTTCTTCTTTAGAAAGAGGAAGATGAAGAGTATGATCAATATCATCCTTAGGATGATCATATTGAGCAATATAATCAAGATCTTTTTCTGAATTAGAATCAGAATTATGATGATTTGAATTTTGAAGATCTGAAGTTTTTAAAATAACTGCTTCAAATTTGATGTCTTTGACTTGATTCTAAAGATTTGCAATTTGAGACTTTATTTCTCTAATTTCTAATTTAATATCAGAATTAGTGGATTTTGAAGAAGGTTCTTCATGAAATTTAGAAAAAAATTCTTTCATATTGAATGGTTGAGAAGGAGCTTTTGAACTAGAAGGAAGAAGTTGAGAAAATTTCTTTTTCAACTGCGGATCTTGAATTTGTTCAATAATATCTTGAAGGAGTTCTTCTTCTTTAGTAAGAACATTTATAGTTTTACAACCACAAATTTCTTTACTTTGAGAAGATTTGTTTGAATTTGATGATGAATTAGTCTCATTGTCAGAATCTTCCTGA